ACCTAAAATAACATTGATGACACTAATGCAGATGGGCTAGTCAGCTTTATTCTTCATGATCATAATTATTATGATAGACATTCTTAAATTATCATAGATAATATTCATGTCATGATCATAAATAATAGAGTGCTCTATCTACGTTATGCTGCAACAAAGTTACCATTGTTATGATTGCCATTAATGTTTTGATTATGATTGCCATGTTATGATTGTTATGATTACCAACCATGCATGTAACGTAAGGGAGAGTAGAACTCCCACTGCCAGAAACAAACATCAGCTGCCTTTAACCTACATCATGCTGATTTTTTACTACCTGTTGAGCTTCATAGTCTTTTCATCAAATAGTCAAGTTGTACCTGATTGCCCTGATAAAGGAGGTAAGCAAGAGAGTCGAGTAGACTATTTATATTAAACCAAACTATTAATTTTACATGCAGAGACCATCTGTTTAGGTCACAGCACTAACAGAGTATCTCAAAGTCAAGGAGGAACTGTATCCAGTATTCTTCAAGATGCTTATGAACAGTTTTGTGGCTGTCGGTACATTGAAGACAATATAGTTATTAGAACAGGCTTTGGTCTTGTTGATGGTAACCAGCCTCTAGTCGAGGCTAATTTCTCATTTCTTTATTATGTGAAAGAGATCAGTGGCTATCTTGAACTGAACAACATACCATCCATTGAAAGGCTGTCTCTGCCTAACCTGAGACTCATACGTGGGGGGAATTTACGTTCTGGACGTTATAGCTTACTAGTGTCTGGAAGGATAAAAACTCTTTACATGCCAAACTTAACTGAGATCAGTCGAGGAGATGTGATTCTAGTTAGCTCTAGATCTAGTCTTAATTCTTACTTGTGTAATACAAGATCAATTAATTGGACTGATATTGCCCCTTTTCCTGTCAATGGTCATCGATTCAGTGGGACAGAAGGTTGCAGAAATTTAGGTAAAATAATTTTTGTTGAATTATTCTTGTTATTAAAGTTATCACTTAGATATAATTGACTGTAATGCATTAGGATGCAGCTCAGGGTTTTGCTGGTGTAATGACACTGATTGCTGCCAAACATGTGAAGAAAAACATTTAACATTTTACTTTATCTAATTAATACATCAATGTAGTATCATTTAATTGTAATTGCAACAACGGTCGTTGTTCCAGAAATGGTCCAAACATACAATGTTGCGATCCACAGTGTGTTGCTGGTTGCAGTGGAGGTGGTAATAATGATCAATGTAGGGTATGTGATAAATACTTGTATGTTAATATTTTTGCATCATATGCTCTAGGCTTGTAAGAATGTTTTGAATGATGGTGTGTGCCGAGAGAGGTGCCCTGATCAATTTATAATTGA